TTTTTTTTTTTTTAATTACTGTGTTTTAGGTACTGTAGCATATTATGCTCATAAAAATTGGTGTTTAAAATCCCTTAATGGGTACATTATGCTTGCAGATTGTTTCCAACTGTGCAAATCAGAGGAGCTCCAATGTCATATTTGCTATTAGCCGCGTAATTGTTATTGTGACGTCTAAGGTAAGACACACTCTATGGTTCTGATTTTAAAAATTTTGGTTAATTTTAGTATTAGTAAACAAATTATATTTAGCTTTCATTATTCAATAGTATGACCTATAGTCAATTCGGTTGGGATATGGTGTTGATAACAGTTTCGGAGCCAAGTATGCATTTGATCTGCTTAGGAAAAATCACAACTGCATAACAACAACAAAACATAGCCTTAGTCTCAAATAAGTTGGGGTAGGCTAGAGATGAAACCCAAGAGAACTTATGGTAAGACAAACACAAAAAGGGCTCAAAAACAAAAGGAAGAGATTAGAGCAAAAGAGAAGGAACAAAAGTCATGGTTCTGGCACGTTGATTGCTAGCCTCTAAGCGCTCCTATCCGCCGCTAAATCCTTGGAGATATTCCAATCTTTAAGGTCTTTCTTAACGGACTCTTCCCAAGTAAGTTTAGGCCGACCTCTACCTCTCTTAACATCATCGACCCGCTGTAGAACTCCCCTACGCACCGGTGCATCGGGAGGCCTCCGTTGGACATGTTCGAACCACCTCAGTCGATGTTGAACCAATTTCTCCTCAATTGGAGTCACCCCGACCCTATCTCGAATATTCTCACTCCAGATTTTATCCCTTTTTGTGTGCCCGCAAAACCAACGCAACATACGCATCTCTGCTACACTCAATTGTTGGACATTTTTCTTTTTGTAGGCCAACATTTAGCACCGTATAGCTTCGCCGGCCGAATCACCGTCCTATAGAACTTACCTTTTAGCCTTGTGGCACCCTCTTATCACAGAAAACGCCCGAAGCTTGACGTCATTTCAACCAACTGGCTGCAATTTTATGCCTAACATCTTCATCAATGTCGCCATCCTTTTGTAGCATCGATCCTAAGTATCGGAAAGTCTCCTTTTTGGCTACCACTTGCCCGTCAAGGCTAACGTCACCATCATCATGTGTAGCCATGCTGAAAGCGCACTTCATGTACTCGGTCTTCGTCATACTAAGTCTGAAGCCTTTCGACTCTAACATGTCCTTCCACATCTCTAACTTCCTATTTACCCCTGCCCTACTATCGTCAACTAGCACCACATCATCAGCAAAAAGCATTCACCAATGGATATCACCTTGTATGTCCCTTGTGGCCTTATCCATCCTATTTTAATTGGGAAATCGCTGGTATCGCCCCCACATGTTCGGACACATGTCATCGCATTCTTGTACATATCCTTGATGAGGGTAATGTAGTTAGATGAGACTTTGTGCTTTTCTAAGGCCCACCATATGTTATTCCTTGGTACTCTGTCATAAGCCTTCTCAAGGTCGATAAAGACCATGTGCAAGTCCTTTTGGTCCCTATATTTCTCCATCAACTGTCGTATTAGGAAAATCGCCTCCATGGTCGACCTTTCAGGCATAAACCCAAATTGGTTTTGGGTCACACTCGTCACTCGTCGTAGGCGATGCTCGATAACCCTCTCTTAGAGCTTCATCGTATGGGTCATCAACTTAATCCCACGGTAGTTACCACAACTTTGAACATCTCCCTCGTTCTTGAAGATCGGTACTAAAGTACTTCTCCTCCATTCATCAGGCATCTTGTTTGACCGAAAAATGAGGTTAAAAAGATTAGTTAGCCATACTAACGCTCTGGCGCCCAAGCATGTCCACACCTCAATGAGGATACCATCAGGGCTCATTGCTTTACCTCCTTTCATCCTCTTCATAGCCTCTCCGATCACTGCCTCCCGAATTCTCACCAAGTGTCTATTGGTATCCTCAAATGAGTCATCCAACTCCAGGGTAGGACCCTCACTCTCCCCATTAAACAATTTGTCGAAGTACTCTCGCCATCTGTCCTTGATCTCCCCATCCTTCACCAGTGGCCGATCCGACCCATCCTTGATGCATTTGATTTGATTGATGTCCCTAGTCTTCCTCTCCTGGATCCTAGCCATCCTATAAATGTCCTTCTTCCACTCCTTCGTGTCTAGGCGTTGATAAAGGTCATCATAGGCCTGACCCTTCGCTACACTCACGGCACGCTTTGCAGCCCTCGCTATTTTACAGCTTTCAATGTTAGTTGCACTATTGTCAAGGTGGAGACGCTTGAAACACTCCTTTTCCTTAATAGCCCTTTACACCTCGTCATTCCACCACCAAGTGTCTTTCGCTTCCTGTTTGCCTCCCCTACTCACACCAAGTACTTCTGCAGCCACCTTCCATACACATGTTGCCATCTTTAGCCACATGTCATCTACATCTTCTCCTTCTTCCCAAGGCCCCTCGCCTAGCATCCTATCCCTAAACGTTTGCGTCGCTTCCCCTTTAAGCTTCAACCACTTCGTTCTCACGGACTTGGCACGTGTGTCCCGGTGGGCACGTATTCGGAGTCGAAAGTCTGCCACCACCAATCTACGCAAGCGCGTCTATCCTCCCTCCTTGCAAGGATAAAGTCGATCTGATTTGAGTGTCGTCCTCTATGGAAGGTCACTAGGTGAGATTCCCTCTTCCTAAAGAGGGTGTTCGCTACCAACAAATTGTAGGCCATCGCAAAGTCCAACACACCCTCCCCCTCTTCGTTCCTACTACCATACCTAAATCCTCCGTGCACTCTCTCGAGACCTACATTAGTCGCACCCACATGGCCGTTTAGGTCTCCTCCTACGGAGAGCTTCTCGTTGGCAGGCACCGTACTAACCAAGGTATTCAGATCCTCCAGAATTGCCTCTTGACACTCTCACTAAGACCTACCTGAGTGGCATAGGTACTGATCACATTCATGGTCAAATCTCCAACTACCAATCGGACTAGGATAATCCGGTCGCCTTGCCTCCTAACATCTACAACTCCATCCTTAAGTCTCCTATCGATCAAGATGCATACACCATTCCTACCCGATGAAGCCCCAGTGAACCAAAGCTTGAAGTTAGTATCCTCCACCTCCTTCGCCTTCTGTCCATTCCATTTAGTCTCCTGGACGCATAGGATATTTACACGCCTCCTAGTAGCTGCATCGACTAGCTCACGTAGCTTACCCGTTAGCGACCCTACGTTCTAACTGCCTATATGGACCCTAGTTGGTTCGACTAGCTTCCTTGCCCTTCGCACCCGTCGAGAGAGATGCGAAGACCCTTGCTCATTTTCCACTACACCCGGGCGCCGATGTAGCACGCCACTAAGGAAATGACGACCCGGTCCTTGTTCACTTAACACCATGCCCAAAACCACGACATGGCACATTCCCGAGGGGGAGACGACTCGACCCTTGCACATTTGACACCATACCCGGGTTCCGATATGGCGCGTCGGTAAAGGGTTATGCCCCAATGAATTTTTCATGGGTTTCATCTCCATAGAACGGCTAAGTTTTACGTTGACTCGCCAAGCCTATCACAACCCTCCTCCTTTACCAAACCTATCACAACAGCATAAGCTACTCGTATATCCATTGATCCTCCCTGTAACATCTTTATACACATCTTTATACAGTTTAAACAAATCATATAGTTTACGTGTACTTCGTCCAAATATAATTAATTGCTTATCATAAAATGCTCGAAATTTTCAAGTAGATAATCCCGTAGTTGCATTTCGTACAAATTACATTGAGAATGTAATGTACTCATATAAATCCGAAGTATTTGGATAAATATGGGATTGAGGGTGTGATTAGGTATAGAAAATTTCAATTTTGTCTCGGTCGACAATTTTATTGAGCTTGTGATTGGAAACAAAACATTTTCAGAAAAATATAGAATCAATTGTTGAACCTTTTCTCTTCAATCCCATCAATATAATTTGGAAATAAAAATAATCTTTACTACACATTTCCTAACAAAAAACACTATTACACTCACATTTCTAACTACCAATTAATATCTAACACGTTTATATCACATCCATTTTATATATTTATCTTTATATCTATTCATATCCTCAAAAGTTTTCATTTATTAATCCAATTTTTCCCACCTTTCTTGTTCAGTTTGACAAATATTCCCAATAAAAATAGAAAAATCTACATCCAATCATCCCCCTCTCATCCTAAGGTCAGGGAGTGGAAAATTAGGAGTATCATACCATGTTCTCTCAATTATTTTTCTATTTATCTTATGCTATAAATATACATCTTTTCCTCGGAAACATGCATAATATAATCTAGAAGAAAAGTAATAATAGTTGTAGGAGCTGGGCGAATATATATTCTTGCTGGGATGTGTTTTCAACATATGTTGTAACCCTTTTATTTTGAGTGGTGTTTCTTCTTTCATCTCTTTCCACGTCTCTTTTACTTCGTGTACTTTTAATGAATCTGCATATCCAAGCCCTATCAGATAATTATGGTACTGTGGAAAGTTCTTTTACTGTAATTTGCCTTGTGTGGTATCTCTGCTTTTCTGCCTTAATTTGTGACAGACGATATTTTATAAAAGGAATGCTTGAAATTATGAGTTTTACCTTGCTCAAATCATTTAAGAATCACAATACCCAATACGGTTAATCTATTCTGTATCTTAAAGAAACCTTCAACAACTCAATGGTGTATATTTGTTTCCTAATCTTCTTTTCTTACTTAAAATTAAATATGAATTGTAATCATTTTTTGTACTACCAGTGTGTGGATATTTAACTTTATCCTTGGCTTATGATCTTTCGAGTGTGAAACAATCATTTGCAGTCAGTTGTCCATTTCTCGTAACACGGTTGAGAGTCCTGTAGGATCTGTCTGTGGACACATTTAGTGATATAGAGGGTGAAGTTTACTATTAGCATGTACTTAACTACTTACGCCAATTGTTCATCTCTCATTACATGGCCGAGAGCCCTGTAGGATCTGCCTACGAACACATTTAGTGCTATGAAGGGTGAAGTTTACCAATTGTATAACTTCAACTTCAGGACTCAACTTCTCACTAAGAGCTTCATTGTTTATTAATGACAGATTCATCTGGCCGTGGACATTCTCATTGCCGAATTGAATAGAGTTTGCATCTATACAGTCCCGAAGCACATAAATTACTCAGAGGTGATTGGCCAAGCTCCACTTCCTCCATGACTTTTTTTTCCACGCATGTTGAATGCACCTTCAAAACAATGGACAATTTAAACTGTATTCCTGTCTAAAAATTCTTCACTGATGCGACTTTGATAATTATTGTTCCACCTGTTAAAATATTTCTGCATAATTATATTGTAAGTTCTAAATATCTTGTCACGTTTAGAGCCACCTCTTTCTTCACCCCTTTCAGGAATCATTCCAAACCAAAGATGCTTACTTCAAAGCTATTGGTTACAAGGAAGAAAATGGAATGATTGAGAGCATTGATAAATTCGTCGAGAGATTGGAGTGTTACATGAGGCTCTACGGAGCTCTAGTGCAGGTTTCAATTATTAGCTGAGTTCTTTTGTGAATTTGGGGCTTTGTTGGCTTGACACAGAAGCAGTATTATCAGTATCACATTTGTTTTGAATATGACAGACTGAAGTTGGAGGCTTTGAGAACCTGCATGGACTGAAAGAAGGTTGGGCGTGGCTTGCAAGAGTCTTGAATGCTCTTCCTGCAAATCTTTACACTGCTGTGGCACTGCATTCGTTTCTGGAAGTAAGTTGTCAATTTTTTGGGAATTTTTGAGAATTCGGTCGATAAGTGGTGTTCTCAACTTTTAGTTGGGAAAGAAAATTCTTTCTTGGTTAGAACAGGTAAACTAAAAAAAATAAACGAACTATGAAAGAGCCGATTTTAAAAATTTTGGATTGTTTTTGGGATCAGCTTTGCCTCATCCAAAAATTTGGTCATGTCTGAGATCAGTAATTGTGGCTTGAAACTAAATATGAAAAGCAAAAGGCAAATTGTCTGTAATCTGAGGCGAAAGTTCTGTTTTCTGGTGCTGTTTGCTCTTATCAATTCAATTTACATTGCAACAACTGTATGAATAGTGGTATTCAAATGCCACGCCCTAAAGTTAATGGGGCTAAATTAAGACTATTTTCTCTCTGCCGCCATTTTCGTTTATCTTTTTTTTTTGGTTTATTTTTTTTGCCTTTAAAAGTATGCAAAATCTCCCATTATTCCTATAGCTTGAAACACATCTGTTCAGTAACAAAATATTAAAAGGAGATTCTGGTTGGTGATCAGATGGCTGGATTCGCCCTGTATAGGCGGTACAGAAATCAGTTTGAGAAGTTAATGTGCATTGTCGCTCGCGACTTTCTCAATGCACTAAAAGAAGGTGGTTCCGAGTCATGGAGCGCCAAAGTGAGCAAGGTCAAAGTGTCTATCCGGAACTACATAGAGTCGAACCAGTTCAAGAAAGAACCTGAAGGTTTACAACTGAGAGGCCATTTGGAGTCTAATGATTTTTATTGATGGTTAGTTATTAAAGCACAATTCAACTTGGGAACTCACCTTTGTTGCCAAGGGATGTTAGAGTTTGTCGGTAAGATCAACTTGTTGTAACATGCTCATACCATCATTCATTTGTATAATTATTCTAGATCTTTTTTTTTAGTTGTTGCTGCTGTTAATTTTTGAATGGCTCACCATGTTAAAACTTAGCAATCTCGCATTCATAATTTTGGGGAAGAACAAAAATTTGTGCCACCATTTTTCTTGGCTCGGCCAAATCAGTCATTTACGTACAACCTTCACCTATATATACACAGTTGTTCACATGCAAACAAGGAACCAAAGTGACGTCGCATGCGACATAGTAATCAAAATGACTGTCGGACGGCTTACCAACTAATACTAAAAACAAAAATAAGAAAATGTCACTCACTTCAACATGACCAATGCTAATTGAAGTAACTAACATCTTGAGAACTGAAAATGAACAACTCCAGCACTCTCTCTCAAGATGGGCTGTGGTAAGCATCAACCATGCCTCACTTGGACACCAGGGGGTGAAATTTCGACCTTGCCAACAACTTGATGAACATATTAGCTAACTAATGTTGAGTAGAAACTTACTGAGGAAGAATAAAGCTTTGTTTGTACTTATTCGTACAAGGTGAATCAATCTCGAGATGTTTGCGCTCATGGGAGACGGGATTGGTCGTGACGTGCATTGCAGCTCTATCACTACCGGTTTATTCGTTGGTTCGCCCATTCAATTGTCGCATCATAAAGAGATAGGAAAAGATATTTGCACAAAACAATCGTGAGCAAGACAACTTATGCAGACCAATTCAGAGAAAGTAGAGCTCATGGACTTATATCAGTTTTGGCTGAGGAACGGGAGATCCTGTATTACTTTTCACTCTTCCAAAAAACCAAAGAATCTCCAAGGAACACACAAAATCTAGTGATAGACCGTCCAGTGTCCTTGCAAGCGGCTCAATCCGCATCACAATAAGCAATGAGTGACATTTCATGTGATGATGATGAGTAGAATAAACCGAGAGATGGAGCACCCTTTAAATACCGAAAAATGTGTATAGCAGCCGTCCAATGAGCTTCATGTGGATAAGTTACAAACTGACTTAACTGATGTACAACATGCATGACATCTGGTCGAGTCATACCTAGATACAAGAGCCGACCAATTAACCTTATATTCAATTCATGTTGCTCCATAAAAGTATCTGTTTGTGTATCAAGTCTAACACCCAAGGGTAGTGGTGTTGAGGTTGTTGTACAACTCAACATATTTAAATCATCCAATATATCTAACACATATTTTCTTTGGCTCAAACAAACTCATGCCGAACTTTGAACCAATTTTATTCCAATAAAAAATTGTGCAGGCCCCAAGTTCTTGATGATAAATTCCTGATCCAAGAAGTGTTTCAACTGAGCAATTAAAGCAGCACTGGATCCATTTACTAAAACATCGTCGACATTAAATAGTATAGACAAGTAAATACCACATGTATAATAAATAAGCAATGATCAGAAGAGGAATGAAGAAGACCAAACAAAGATAACTTCATGCATAGCTCATTCTTCTATTCCATGGGTGCCTGCTTAAGACCATAAAGGCTCATGACCAACTTACACAAACCTGCCCCTTTGCTGCCTTTGTTTATCCCTGAGGAGGGTTCATGTAAACTTTCTCAGTAAAACTGTCCATGAAGGAAGACATTATTCACATCGAATTGCTCCAAGCTCCATCCCCTTAGTTCTGCAACAACAATTAAGAATTTGAACGTAAATAGTCTAGCCACTGGAAAAAAAAATGCCAAAGTAATCGACACCCTAACCTGATTATATCTTTTAGCCACAAGTTGTGCCTTGTACCTTTTTATTGAGTCATACAATTTCCTCTTTATCTTATATGCCCACTTTGAACAAATAACCTTGTTTACTCTGGTAGATGAGTGAGTTCCCAATTGTGGTTATCTTCAAGGGCCTGAAGTTCCGTATCGATTTTTGTCATCTAAGCAGGATGTAAGCAAGCATAGCATGCCTATAATGAGTAGGCTCCTTACACATGGAAATATTAGCCATGAAGAGTGCATAAGATGGTGGTGACTACAAGGTTTTTGTGTAGTGAGCACCTTCTCCTCCAGTAGATACTACATTATCTGCATGTCCACATATATAATCGAATTGCCATTTTGGCACCTGTCTTTCTAGTGCTTCTTCTCAAACGATCTTCTACGGGAGATTTTGTGACAACTGCCTCAGTCACTATCATCAACAATTTGTAGTATAGTGACTCTGTTCTAAAATCGGCCTAGGCGGCGCCTAGGCGTTAGGCGGTGCCCTGCCGCCTCCGATTTGCATAAATCGGCTGAAAAAATCAGTCAGGCGGCTAGGCGGACCTAGGCACTCCCAGGCGGGCTTGGCGGCCTCGGCGGCCAGGTGGCTTGGCAGAATTTTTAAATATTTATTTGTTATCATATTTCCTTTATAATATACTAATATTATTATCTGGACTTAAGTATGTTGATTTATTATAAGTTCAGATAGTTTTATTTTTTAGATGAAGAAAATAAATATAAAAGAAAATATTTAATCTTGATTTCTAGGTCTCGCCTAGACGCCTAGACGCCGACTACGCCTCGCCTCCGATTTATAGTGGTAGATGTATATTCTTCAGTATGATAAGGAAAAATATCTTCAAAGAAAATAAAAAATATAAAATAAGAAACGAGAAATGAAGAAGAGAAAAGAAAAGATAATGTGGTATGGTTGGAAAGAAGTTTCACTCTACGCTGATTAGGGCAAGTATAAGATCTATCTTTTGTTTATTATATATTATTTTGTTCGGGCCATGAAGTTCAACTTTTAATGCAAATTACTTATTAAGTTGGGCCCATTATGTCCAACGAGGTGTTATTTAATGAGAAATTTACTCCTAGGCCGAGATATTCTAAACACGTTTGTAGATATACCGGCACAAGTTTTTGTTAGCAATTTTGGAACAACTGCACAAATTAATTGCACCCCTACGAGGCTACGATATTTGTTCAATTTTTGCTTTTCCTTTTTCAGTTTTTTTTACAAGGTAAGGTTTTAGGGGGTAAATATTATGGAGATGTGAGATCTTTTACAACTTCTCACCACCTTTTTTTCTTCTATCTGTCCGTCAGAATATCACTCACGCCACATCCCAATAATCTCTCTTTTCAGTCATCCACAGTCGGAGGTGGCCAAGGATTCGCCGGCGACGTCGATAAACCTCCACCAGAAAAGAAGCGAACAAT